TGCTGTATATACAGAAAATTTTTTTTAAGATCAGATTATGGTGCAATATTTTCAGATTTTAGAAAGAAATTAGGACAGGTGTGGTGGCTCACGCCTGTAATTCTAGCTCTCTGGGAGGCCGAGGCAGGCGTATCGTTTGAGTTCAGGAGTTCGAAACCAACCTAAGCAAGAGCGAGACCCCATCTCTAATATAAATAGAAATAAATTAATTGGCCAACTAATATATAGAGAAAAAATTAGCCAGACATGGTGGCGCATGCCTGTAGTACCAGCTACTTGGGAGCCTGAGGCAGTAGGATCGCTTGAGCCCAGGAGTTTGAGGTTGCTGTGAGCTAGGCTGACGCCATGGCACCCACTCTAGCCTGGACAAGAAAGTGAGATTCTGTCTCAAAAAAAAAAAAAAAAAAAAAAAAAAGGAAAGAAAGAAATTAAACCCAAATGTGTAGTATTGATATTGTTGAGAAATTAAAAGAAAATCATAACTTTATGAATAGCTATGACTTAGTTCATGCAAGCATAGTTAACAGAAGCAATTTATATAACCAAAACGTTCACACCACTAAAATATTCTGGAAAAAAAAAACATAGTCAATAGAAACTACCTAATGAATGTTACTTGGCAGTAGGATAATGTGAGAGGCTGTCAATTGTTAGATGTGTCTAAGTTTCAGAGAAATGGGGAAAATGTATGCATATTGAAATTGTTAGCATATGGTAGTATTATGTAAATGAGTACGTACGTATCTGTATATGTAATGGGCATAATGGTCACAGCAAAAACAATATATACTAAAGAGAAAGATCAAATCCAGCACTCTTCTGGAAAATATCTAAAAGCAATAAATTTTTAACAGTGAGATAAGAAATAAGAAATATGAAGAAAAAAGTAGAAATGTTAGTAGGACTATAATAAGAGTCTTAAAGGGGGAAAATAAAGAGGATAAAATATATATAAAAATAATGATTAAGGATTTCCTTGAATTATGAAAGATAATGAGTTTTATTGACAAGTTATCTAGAGCTTCAAAATTATAAGAAAAAGAAAAATAATCCCATGTAAATTTAAAAAAAGCATAACAGGAAAATTTAAGATTAAAAACAAAGATAAAATCTAAAAATCTCTCAACAGTGCAAATTACATATGAAGGAATAAATATTGATTGTTCTCAGACTTTACAACAATGTGCCGATTCAAGACAATTATGGAAAAATATTTTCAAACTGACAAAGAAAATACTTTGCACAAGGAATTTTATAGCTTGATAAAATAATATAGTCAACAATATAATCTAATACTATTTTGCTAAGAAAGTTTTATTCAAACAGGCATGTGATAAAAAGCTTAAAATAAAATGATAGGAAAACCTGTGCCTCAAGAAAGCCTTAAGTCTAAAAGAAAAATTAAGATAAAAACATCAGAAGAGATAAAGAGGAGTAATACATATTGATAAAAGGAAAAATAGGCTATGGTCTTATATGCCTTTAAATATATAGCCTAAATTGAAAAAGCAAAAATTCTAGAACCTAGAAGAGAAGCCAGAACTATACAAAATTTACATGGGGAATTCTAAGACCCTCCTCTTAAACATTAAAGTATTATAATTAATTTAATACTTTTAATATGTAAAAGTACCATAAATATAAATAACAAATGAAATTCTGACTATTATGTATGAACACATGCACACATTTCCTCCTCCTCCCCTCAAAAGAAGAAAGCTGTCTTTTGGCAGAATTGTATAAAATAATCACACACACAAAATTGGCCATGAGGTAGGCCAACTGCAAAGGAAGTCTACTAATGTGTTTCAAACATAATAACGCATCACTTGAGGGGGACACATTCTGAGAAATGCATGGTTTGTCAGTTTCATGATTGTGCAAACATCACAGAGTGTACTTACAAGAAGCTAGATGGCATAGCCTACCGCACATCTGGCATTGCCTATTGCTCCTAGGCTACAAACCTGCACAGCATGCTACTGTACTGAGTACTGTAGGCAATTGTAATACAATGATATTTTTGTATCTAAATCTATTTCAACATAGAAAAGGTTAGTAAAAATATGGTACTATCATCTCATGGGACTACTGTCATATATGCGATCCACTGTGGACTGAAATGTTATTATGACTGTAATCAATATCATGATGACAATATTGTTAGACAATACTGCAAAAACCTAGCACACCTACATCCAAGTACCAGGGAAAGTAATATATATCTTGGGAATATGAATAGGAAATTGCACAGCACTTGCTAATGAAACTTTGCATTATTTGCTAAAAATATTTTTCCTTCCATCCTTCTCCTTCTCTGCGTACAGTCTACCCGACATGAAGCTCCTCTCTCATCTGGCCCTTCAGACCACACCCCTGCCCCTTTTCAAACCCAGTGCTCTGGACTTCTGGCTGCCACTGCTCCTGGGGGAGTGATCACCTGAATGTTCTGGAGAATGTGATTCTCCATCTTATTACATTTGGAATCAGAAAGACAGAGAGAGAAATAGAGAGAAAGAGAGAGAAACTTATTTCCCTTGATTCAATTTACGTGTGTTGTTTACACAAGTTGCTTTTTTCTTCCTTTCATTTTTAAAGGGCCTATTTTTATTGGCCACAAAGTCTCTATCTTTTAGGAAGGAGGAGGAAGACTTGGTACCTTGCAGCTTTTCTCTTCAACTTTGCACAAACTAGAGACTTTTGGATTGCTCTAGGCTTTTTCTCTGATGGGATGATAGGTATGCAGCTCAGAAAGCATTCCCACAGAGAACCTACACAGGATATCAGGATGCTATAACTGACTGCAAATCGACTGCCCGATTCCTAGAACAGTAGAATAATTGGCTGGGGATTTTATCTATTCTTGTGGCTGATGCCAATAAGCTAGTGTGTTTATTAACAATTTATTTACAGAACACAGATTGATTTCACTGGGATTGCATGGCCAGCCACTGCAAAGAGGAAGTAAATGATTTCTTCCAGAGCTTTTAGGAATCCACTATCATCCAGAAGTCAGTATATATTGGAAATGAATATCAGAGTATAGTAGTAAAGTGATGCGTATTGCAATAAAGAATACAAAATGAAATCTGCCCAGAAACTAAACTAGCATAAACTTTAGTTTGCATAAGAACAGTGAACTCTGCATCACCTAAAAGAAAGGAAAGAGGGCACAAGTCAAATAGAGTGAATCATTTAATTTATGCAACTGATGCTGAGGATAATTACAATGGGGGTTGTGTATTGGTACAAAAGTGAGAGTTGGCTTGGTATTCCTTAATTAATCAAGCTGATATTAGTGAAAATGAAAGGAACAGATGACAATTTAGGAGAAAACACTATTTTGGTTTATAATATATACCATCTGGGTAAAGCAAAAAATGATAGGATCAGGATCCAAAGAGAAAGTATTTTTCTTGCCTGGTTAAACTTAATCAAGTGCAAATCTGAAGCTCATAGCAGGAAAATAAATCTACATTTAAATATGTCAGCATACAAGGAAATCGTTTTATCATGTGCAACATCACACTTTCCAAATATATTATTACCTGATTTTAAAAACAAAATAAAAATTCAATCTTATATTTGAGAAATATTCCAATACTAGAGGGAGTAGAATAACTGTAGATAAAAATAAATGGAAAGTGATAATAGGTAATATATTTTAAAAATGGCTGTGAGTATTGAGGCACTTTTTCCCCTGTGAAAACATTTGTACTCATCCTGGGGAATATGGAAAAGTGAGGTATCCAAAAGTAGTAATAATTTATGTGGCCTGAATTTTATTTTACTTTATTGCTAAATGAATTGTTAGTCTCTTTGGTTCCTGTCAATTATAAATATATATGATTTTATGGGATAATTATGGCATATAAATGTAAGATTTTTGCTTATACAAGGAAATTACTAGGAAAAGAGTATTGTTTTGGCAATTTAAACATTGTGAAGGCATTCTTCATTTTTGCTTCATATTTATAAAGGTTTGAGTCTTGTAAACAATGCCATGGTATTTATTATCATTCACTAAATGGTCAAATTGTAACTATTTAATATTAAATCTTGACATAAAAAGCTTTTAAATTTTGATCCCTACATATTTTAATTATATGAGTTAGTTAGCAAAGACATTGGTTATGAAAAGGCAGTAATTTTCTCCCAGCTAAAACAAGTTAAATTTTCTCCCCTGCAGTTCCACAATATCTAATAAATATGAAAATTCATGCACCCTATAACATGAGGAGTCCATTTGTGACCATTTACTTTAGAGAAACTCATGTGCATGTGCATATAGATACAAATTTATTACTATATAGTTTATTATGATGAAAAATCAGAAACAACCACAATTTGCAGTGGTAACATAATTTGTGGTATATGCTTGTGATGGAGTGACATACAATTACAATGAATAATCTAAAATCTGCAAATTAGGTCTATATTTATCCTCATGGCTAGGTCTTATAAACAATAGTGAGTAAAAAAATAGTATGTCACTCATGACAATGAAGAATAATCTCTAAACAATATATTTCTGGAGATACACACACACTCAATGAAACAATAAACACCAAATTTATAATAGTTTTCTCTGAGGAAGGAAGGGAGAAAATAGGATGGTAGAGAAAATAACCTTATGTGAATAATAATTTACATCCTTAATTTGAAAATTTTGAAGGAACAATGATGAAGAATCAACACTGCTTAATTATATAAGTTGTAAGAACCTGAGCATGTTGGCTTATTCTTTGAAATTATCTATTTAATTAAAAAAAAATGCTCCTTAATTACCACTCATCAGTGGAGGAACCTGTGTCTCTACTACATTCTGAGACTTATATCTGATGTTATAATGGAAATGATAATATGGAAGCACTAAAGTAAATATTTACATATAAGTAATGTAATTATAGTCATAATAGAAGTACCTGAAAAGCAAGCTAGCAACAGATGATGGAATTATATTGATGGAAATGACAAATCAAGCTTGACATTTTGAAGGAGATTTGGAGAAAGAAAAAATGTAGTTGGGTTAGCTAACATCCTGGCATTTCTCATTATTTTCTAGAATTCCAGTGTTTGCGTTGGTCAGTTGCATCAAGAATTGGACATCCCTGTATTGGAGAATAGAAGTGGAAATCTTTGTTAGAAAGTAAAAATCCAGTGTTATTACTTGCTGTGTAAGGTAACGCTGATGTATATGTGTCAACAAGAACTACAGAGAAAGACTGTTTTTCAAGGCTGCTACTTCCTTGTGAACTGACAGTCTTTCCACCTACATGACTCTTAGAGCACTTAAGGAAGTTCTATGTGTCAATGCCCTAAGGAGCAAATAGTGTTTATAATGGAAATACCCCAAGATTCCATTATTAGAGCAAAAAATATGTGTAACACACACAATCCTTAGACCTATTTATCCTCCTCTTGAAATTGTAAGGCAAAATAATACAAAAGGTGGTGTTAAGGGGGAAAAAGTGGGTTACGTGTATGCATGTGTATGTGTTTAGGAAAGAGATAAATGATATTATCTTGCATAAGGAATAAAAGTATTTAATAGCTTATTACAGAACAAGTGGGCACTATTGCCAATTACACCAAATAGATCTTAGGGATTTCCATCCATTAATCTGAAATAGTATGGTAAAATTAATCATGAAGCTGAGTTTAAAAGCCATAAATGACTGCATTGCAATTCTGACAGGCATAATAGTTAGTGACGTAACAATTATGCATTGTGTCTGTGTTACTTGGAAAACCTTTACCTGACTCAACTGTTGAAGACATATTATCACCTAGACAAAGATTGATCATACAAAAGATTTATTTTAATCTAACTGACAGCATTAGCTTAAATTTATAGGAAGTTGAGCTGTCAAGGATGGTAACTTCTGCCTGATACCCTGTTCTTTTTTGGCAGCATCCATCGTATTTAAAAGTTTAACAAAACTTTCTATCATTACTAAGGTATATGGGAAAAAAAGGTCTAATGATTTTCCTTTGACTATTTCTAATATTTTCCAGAACTCAGTTTTATGATAAAGTTATAATATAAAAGTCTGCAGAGGAAAGATTACACATAAAACATACTAATCTGTTTTTAAATGTGTGTATGACCTTTTTGAATTTTCAAGACTCATTGGAAAGCATATGAAAAATAAAACTTTCAGTTGATTTTATTTGAATTTGTATATCGAGAAAATTAATGCTATTTTTCTCTAAAGCACAATTTGGCAAAATACTAAATAAGCAAGTAGAGATATCCAGGATGTGTCACTTTTTATATTTTCCTTTCTGTGTTTAATAATCAGTTATTTTTTCCTGAAATAATTGTATTTTCAGGACCTAATCTCATTACTTGCTCACTTCTCTATGTTTTATTTACTCAGTTTTGAAAATGATGAAATATATTTGGTTACTTTTTGTTATTTTTTATATTTCTCATTCAGGATTAAGTTTATTTAAGCAAGAGTCAGTATGGTGAGGGGAGTGAAGATACAGAGTACTCCAAGTACACTATGATGCAGAAAATGATTATTCCCAATTCTACCTGGAGAACCTCTTCTATTTTCTTGTGCATGTAGGTCAATAAAACAATCAGTCACTTGCTAGCTGAATCTGTAGATAATGCTATGTTAGAGATGTTGGGTTTTGCCTTTATCTTTTCTGGGGCCTTTTGGAAGAAGACTTCTACTTCACTAGAAGGTGTTAATGTCAGGATTGGCAGGAAGAAAGAATGGGATCCTGGTAGGTGAGTGTAAAAGTATACTTATGAGTGGAGAAACTTTGCAGTTCTCAATTCCTAACGCTATGTTACACTAAGTCTGGTGCCAGGGAGGAGGTCTTGTCTATTTCAGTAAAATTATCTCAGATCTTCCTAAAATAGTGAGGCTCCTCATTTAGATAAAGACTGAAGGGTACTTATTTTGTGAGATTTAAAAGTTAACTTTGTCACAGGTATCTGTGATATTAATGAATTTTAATACAATGTTAAGTGTAGATAAGGAAGATTGACTATTTCTGTTGTAGCACAATAGAGCTTTTAATCTTTCAAATAAATTAGTTTATTGGCAAATTAATAGCTTAAGTAATATTGGATATTGCACAAACACATGTGCATCCAAGTGGTATTTTTTGTTTTGTTTTGTTTTGTTTTGTTTATACTCCATAGATTATTTTGGGAGCAGAAAGAAGCATGTTAAGGTCTAAAGCACAGAAAACTTTCAGTGAAATATGTATACATTTTCATAGACCTTTAGGTTAAACATTTTTTTAGGTTAAACTTAAAAAAATAATCTAATTACCAGACATTATTTTAAACAAATCACTTTGGTATTTTCCCTAGTCTTTCCCCATTAGGAAAAATTAATGACATAGTAATTTTTCAAATATGTGTGTAAATGCATTTGTGTGTGTGTAAATGAGTCTATGTGTGTTTTAGATATTCATGCATACACTGGGTTAGAGATTTATGTATCAATACACTCTAACCCTTGGCTCTTACCCAGTTCTCATCATCAGCTTTTGCTCTTCTGAGGATGTTTTCCCTGTAATCGCTGTGAACTTGTCTGAAGGCCCTTGCTTACTCTGCCCTGAAAGACCGCTGATTCTGCTACAGAAATAGGTAGCATCTGGTTCTTACTCCAATTTTACATCCTATATGAAACTCCCTCTGGATAGAAGAAAACATTTCAGACTAATCTCAACCTCTAATTCCCTCCTGGCATCTGCTGTCCCAGATCTTTTCTCTGACTCTCCCACTCAGTCCAACCCTGTTTACTTCCAAAGAGACATTTGTTCCTTGTATGTCCCACCTCACCAGCTTGATGCCACTGTACAGTCTCCAAAGGTCTAAAAGGAGAGCAGAAGTGTAAAGATAATGTTACCAAAAGCTCAGCACTTGTCCACGAGGCTACATCAGAAGAACAAGGACAAGTGGTTGAGAAGAAGGAAAGAGAAGTTTATTACTTTGCCAGCAAAGGAGGAAAACTGGTAGACTATAGTCTCATAATCCAAATTCCTGTCCATAAGCAGAAATACAGAGATTTTAAAGGGAGGACTCTCAGTTCTAGGGTATTGTCCTTAATGATTCTAATTGTCCCATCTCTGTAGTAGACAAAGCTGTGACCTCCACCACCTGGGAGGCCCACACAGACCTCTGCCCTGGCCTGGGATGGGGCTAACAGTTCAGCTGAGCTATCTCTCCTAACACAAAGAACCAAAGAAATTCCCCTGTCTCTCCCATCCACCTGCCTGAGGCAGAGATTGCAGCCCTCAGTTCCCAAAAAGAGTGGGAGAAGTTTTAAAAGACAGAAAATATCTTTTGCCATTTTTTCCCAGGCCATTCCCTCTGTTACATATTTCCCACTCTCAATTTTATGCTTTCATATCTATGGGAGGAGGAGCAACTACTCTGTTACAATAAGAGCTTCTTCAACCTCTGCTTAAACTGCTTAGGAAACTTGAGAGTAAGATTAAGAACTGATAGGGAAGAGTAAACCATTGAATACTTTTTCAAATGTATACTCCTGTAACTATGAACATAACACATTCTCCACTTACTGTTCTCTGCATAGTGATGCAATTTTGAAAATACTAAGGTGAGAAAAATAAGAGTGATATAAAATGAAATACCATGGTTTAATTTCTTCTCTGCAGCTAGGAAACTGTCAAGTTAAGTGTAAACCACATGGAATCTTGGTATAGTCAAAATTACACGTGGAGATGAACAACTTTTAAATCTAGGTTGTTATCAAGAGGCAGAAACAAGCATAAAACAAATAAAAACACAAAAGTTTAAAAAATTAGAGACAGCCATGAGGTTAATTCCAATTCCAACCTTTTGCTATTTAGCATTAGTAAGACTTATGGCATGTCCCAAGTATGGTAGCAATTGCCATTCTGTAATATTCATTTTTTTTTTTTTTGAGAGAGGACATAATGTAGCACCTATGTGTTAGGGTCATATGCATATTTTTCATTATGTGATAAGAACTCAAATAATAGCTTCCCAGAACCATGTTAAAGACTAAATTTTGAGCAATTAGAGAGAGAAACTAGGAAATTCATCAAAAGAGATTTCTATGTTTCCTTTTCTTAATTTTTTTTCTTCTCATTCACTTTTCAATCCACATCAATCTGCCATTCTTTCAGATTTTATTAAGATCACAAAAGACTTACTTCCTTGCCCCTTCATTTGGTAGAAATCTTCTAGTACTCCACTTTAATGGATCTCTTAGTAACATTTCAACATGTTTGAATTATTCCTCCTTGAAATGCTCTCCCTTATATTCATCACTTTCTTGAGTTTCCTCTGATATTCACAGTTATTATTTAGCCTCTCTTTTGGAAATGTTCCCCTGTATATGGTCATTAAATGTCCGATTTACTCAAAGTTTATTCCTAGGTCCTCTTCTGTTCTATTCCATTATTTTTTCCTAATAAATTGTATCCACATTGCCTCAGCTTCCATCAAAATCCCATCAACTCACACAGTTCAAGCACCAGTCTATAACTCGTTGACCTTAACTCTTCAGTTTGGATTTTCCAAAGGTTCTTCAAATGTATTATATTGAAAATCGAATTCACTCCTCACCCCCAAAACCTCTGAAAGGCAACCCCATAAGAGTAATAATTAACACATCCATCTCCCATACCTTACAGCCTATGCATCACCTTAATTTACCAATATTAATTTCTAAATGTTTCCCAAATCCTTCTACTTTCCTGAATCTTCTTATTACCACCTTCAAGTAACCACTATCCTCTTAAAACTAGATGAAGGCAATACCTTCCTAAGTAGTTTGTCCATATTTATTTCTCTTCCTACTTTTCAATCTCTATTATCCACCACAGCTTGTAGCACTTTAATAACTTTCTACAACTATCAGGATAAATACTAATTTTCTTAAAATATTGCTCAAGGTACTCTATGAACTAGTCCCTACCCTGTTAGCTTCATTTCACGTAGGCCTTTCACAACTTGTATTGACCTCATTTTTGTTCCCAGTTATGCCATACATACATCCTCCTGCCTTTGATGAAAACACTCTACTTCTACTCACTTTGCCTGGCTGAATGCCATCTCATCCTACAGCTCTCATCTTAATTCTTAGTT